TATATTTTATAATATATTTATTAAAAAATTATTATTTTTAATTTAAAATTAAAAATAAAAAACTTCATAAATGTATCCATATAGATAATATAAAAAAATTAATTGAATTGGTTATATTTATATTACTCATTTAAGTCAGATTTAATTATTTTAATTTGATTTTTTTTATAAAATTTGATTAAATAATTTTATATAGTAAATGAATAAAAATTAATTTTTTTATTAGTAACTCTTATTGAGTATTTTTACTTATAGATAAAAAAATTTTGAATTATTATTAATTTACTATATAAAATTATTAAATTAATTTATATAAAATTAAAGAATTAAAATAATTAAAAAAACAAAAAATATATTTTAATAACTAAACTAACTAGACATCAAAGTTTATGTTGAAGTAGAGAATATCTAAATAACTTTTTATTAAATTATTAACTGTTTTTTATAAAAGATTGAAAACAACTATAATATCTTAATAGTTAAAATGTCAGTTGATAATAAAAAAATTTAAATATTTTTAATGAAATAATATGTAAAATAAATTTATTAAAAATATTTAAATAATTTTATATATAATTATGATATTTTAAATAATAGGATCTTGTGTTTCTCACTTTTCTATTTTCATAATTTAGGTAAAAATAAATTTAGTTTTAAAAGAATATCATCCCTAGTTTATCCCTACTTCGATTTTCAATATATAATTCCTATATGGGGGCGCATGTTTTAGGAGGCGCAAAATGAAATCTTAACGAAATGATGTGTTTATACATACATCGATTTAAAAGCACTTGGCCTTCGTCCAGTGGTCTCAAATTACTCGTACATCTCTCTCCTTAAATAACTGTTCGAATTTAATTTTTTATAAATTTGTTAAACAAAAAAAATACATACATCAATTAAAAAGACGATGAGAGATGTGTTTATGCATTAATTAAAATGTCAATGAAAGGAAACTTTTTTAAAAAATTATATTAAATAAAATTTATTAATTTTTAAAGATAAAACAATCATAATTAATGATGCTATCAACTAAGGCACAAAAATGAATATATATTGAACTTTTCTTTTCTGAGCAGCCAAGGTATCCTCGAAATAGACACCTCGAGCCTAATTAATTTGTGCTCATTTCAAAATTAATCACTTATCAGACAATTTTAGAAAGTGCACTTTTATATTCCTTTTGTGCATTAAAAAAACTAATTTTTTTAGCTATTGACTTTAAAGTTAAACTTTAAATTTAACTTACAAAACTACACTTGAATGAGCATATAATGAA